GATGTTCTTCTACGAATCAAAGTTGAACGTATATTTGTCACACTTGTTGTTTCGATTTTGACATTGAGATTCAAAAGAAAAACAAAAATTACAATTTGATCTAACACGTTTTGACACCAAAATTTACCAATTACAAAATTAATATCTCACATATATGGCGCAAAGGAATTCAAAAAAATTTCGAGAGTCAATGTCATCCCAAAATGCCCCCTCTTCTTAAATTGTATCTCTCTTTTGCTGACACTATACGTGGAGCTAGGTTGTTGTAGAGTTCAGGCACCTCAGTTTGAATATTGGTTTTTTTTAAAGAGTGAATTTCAATTTTATAAATACAAGTATAAACGTGTTAAAAAAATAAAAAAATACAAATATAAACATTTGTACAGGCCCATAAATGGAGAACTTAATATTGGGTTGGGCTTTAGTCTAATTCAATAATTTATTGGGCTTCCCTGTGGCTGTTTGTCCAATTACTCTTGTTTAATATTGGGTTGGGCTTTCGTTTAATTCAATAATTTGTTAGGCTTCCTGTGGCTGTTTGTCCAATTACTCTTGTTTATCTTAAAAAAATAATAATAAAAAATAAATAAATAAATTTAATAGATCTAATAAAGAACATCATTCTTTTACGGTTTTACCAAACCCAGCTAATCACCATCACCTTCACCTTCACCTCCACCTTGCTAGTTATCCACCTTCACCTTCGCCTTGCTAGTTATTGTTTTAGTTATTGTTTTACTTTTGTTTTGCTTTAGTGGTACCAAATTCCTACTTTTCAAAAAAAGATTAGGGATTCGAACCTCCACTAAAAAAAATAAAAATAAAAATAAAAATAACTCACGTATTGAAATTCACACCACATGCTCACTTTGCTTTTGTGTTAAGAGTAATGTATAGATGCACCCTAAGACAAATAAAGAATAATAGTGAATTTACTTCTTTATATTAGAACAATTTGGTGATCTCTCTTTTTCTTTTAGACTCTTACCTTTTATAGTATCATCCATTTTCTAAAGATCAACGGATAGGATAAATTATTATAATTGATGGTTAAAATTTAGTCTCTAGAATAGTCCTCTAAATTATCACATATTCACAACTCTATATAATTCTCAACTTTTCTAAAATTTCTTTACTCAATATATTAGTAAACTTTAGAGAATCCTCCAATATTCTATAATTATCAATAAATAGTGACCACTTATGCAATTTATGTCTTGAACTAAATTCCTGTCATCGTAGCTGCATATTGACATTGGATTACTTACCTCACCATTAATTTAGTAGGCAATACAGATTTATCTAGATTCAATGAAATTGAAAAAAAAAAAAAAAAAACATAAACTCACTGTAGCCAACGGACCGCATAGCGATCCTAAGTTGGCACGAGGACCAAAACAACTAGTGAAAGCTTAAGTTTAAGTAATTGTTTGTGCATAGGAGAGCAGATAATGTTAACAGCAACAATAAACAAATATTCCTTATATATGATAGCAAACAGAGGAGGATATTCAAATTTTCCTTTACATGTCACTAAGTTGGTCTTCTTTGCAACTTATATAGGTCCAACATATACGTACATTGTGTATTACACCGAACAAATTGTTAAATCAGGGATGAATATTACTACTTGCTAGCTACATGAAAAGTAACCATATATCATTGAATTTTTATATCTACTCCTTTGAATTGAGGAGAAGGAATGAATTGAAAAAAGGGTCAATACATTGGGGCAGATCCTCATGGTCACATAAACATTCACATTCGTAACAAAAAGCAAGTTGAGCAAAGGCACCAATTCAGTGCTAAATTTTCTTCAATTTCAAATTTGTACTAAATATTATTCAATGTACCCATTCGGTACTCCCAAACATAACATATGTCAATTGTACCAAACCTTAAAACTGCCGAGACTAGAGCTGCCAAAACATTCTCCTATTCAAGTGTACAAAATACAACCATATTTGGTGAAGAAAATATTCCTCTTTTATGGGAACTTGATTTATTCCCACAACCTGCAGAGAGAAGGGATCTTCCCAGATCTGAAGTCCAAAACAAAGTTGAAGGAAATGTATAATACCTTTTTCCCCCGGAAATTAAAAAATGCACGAATATGCAGAAACAGATTAAGCAAATATAAAGGTTCACTTATTTGGATTAAGAAAAGAAAAAAAAAAAAAAAAACTGCAGCTTTCTGTTGCACAATTGGATACATAAAAGAAAATAATCAGATCTCCATAATTTTCATGTAGGGGCAGCTTCCAAACATATATACCACACATATGGAGAGAAAAGTTGGCAAGTGATGTAAAGCAGAAAAAGAGAGGAGGAACAAAATCTGGTGAGAACCACAAGTGTCCATGAAGTAAAAAGAAGCATTATTTGTAGTCGTACACTTAGTTACACTGAAGTACAGACATGCCTGAGTCATGGTGGTTCCAGTACACCACAACTTCACAGAGGTCAGAGAAACCACTCAAATATTCCCCAACACTCGAACATTGAACTCCAAATAACACAGATTACAACATTATTCCACAGCTTCGTGACAGACAGTACTGCTCAACCCAATACTGCTAATCTTTGTGTATTGCACGCAGATTAATTAATTAAGCAGTTGCAACAGTTCCAAGATGGTTTTATATATATTTAAGACATTAAAATAAAACTTCAAATTCTATAGAAATGTTTTAAGACTTTAATTCTAAGTATACATATATGCATACACAGTGCTGAAGGTTTTGAGAATCAAAAGAAGATAAAAATAAGCCATTAATTGCCGCTGCAGCGTCATCAAGATTCTCATATATATCAAAGGGATATTGGGAGTGAAGAGAAGGGACCGCAAAAGGTATTATCACTACCACAACCACTCCCACATGAAGCCCTAGAAAAGTTATGTGAATCTTGATGATGCTCCATCCGCAAGAAACTGCCGGTGTTTTGACATTGATCTTTACTCATCATCATCATCATTCCATGCAAAGGAGAAGGAAGACTGAAGGCATTCCCACCGAAACCCTAACCCTAAAGGACATTTGAAAAGTAAAGGGAAAGGCAAAGCAAAGAAAGGACATAATTAAATAAAGCTTCAAACTCATTATTGAGGAATGTACAATAACTAGCTACCTCCGGGATTTTATTTATGTTTATAATATATGTTGTTTCATTGCTGTCATGATGTGTTTGTTTTTACATAAGACGAAGAATGGGTAATATGTTTGAGTATTATTAAACAAGTGTTCAAAATGTGTCGATATGAAGTGTTCAAAATAATAAATATTATTTTTAAATTGTGGACAGCATGAAGCATGGGACACTTGCCATACAATGGCCATAGTGTGGGACACTTGTTCAGGGCACGACGGCCAAGGTGTGGAACATTTGTTTAGGAGTGTCTAACACAGACGCAACACCTTTTTAAAAGTGTTTGTGCTTGTTATATATGGTGCTCCCATATTTATTATCCATCATAATCCTAGGTACCAAATTTCCCAAAATCTTTTAAATTCTTACCGACTCAACTATTTTCCAATGTTGTTGAAAGAATGATGTGGAGGGAAAATATTTTCCCACCAATAATAAACTGACATATCAGCACGAGGGTGCCACCAAAGATTATATTGACTGTTCAACATTCAACTTGGGCTCAAGCCCGAGTATTTCTCAGTTTTTCACCAAAAAGCTTTTCTCCAAGCTATTGTTGAAGACAATGTGCCATGGATGGTAGACTGATGAAGCCTGAGCGAGCTTGTACTCGTTTGATTTGATGCTCCTTTAATCTCTTTTTTAATGGTGGAATTATTAGGGTGGAAGTGAAATACAAATGTGCACAGAGCATATTTTGAACCATTTTTTTGAACTACTATTGTTTTGGACCATTTTTTTGAACTACTGTTGTTTTGGACCATTGGAATCATAGCAGGTCTCACAACGGCCACTTACTAAACCTTTAGATGAATGATGACATTTTTACATTGGAGAGAACTGAGTTAAAAATTGTGAATCCGTGGTGGAACTTACTGTGTCTAACAGTATAAAATAAAATAAAGAAGGAAAACAGTATAAAATAAAATAAAGAAGGCAAATTACATTTGTTGTGACTGGCAACACTCACGCCTCCACGTGAGGCCCACTACTTATGGTGGACCTACCTGAGGACTGAGTGTTGCCACGGTAGGACGTCAAATAACAAAGTTAAAAACACTAACCAAAGTCTTTGTGAATGTGATTTTCTCTAATAAAATGGTACAATTGTCCTTTGAGGAAAAAAAACCATCAATGACATCTTAAACTTACATGATGGACAATGGCTTTTTTTGCACATACCTAACAATTGTAGCCTCTCCAAAGCATTCTCATAGTTGACCTCTCACTTGTTCTTTGAGTGCTTTTTATGTATGTGGAATCTACAAAAGCTCTCTCTCAGAGTGGTCATCCCATCATTGGAAACCAAGCAACATTAACAATGACATCAACAACAGGCATACCATATAAGGTGCCAGTGACTCAATGTCATACCATATAAGGTGCCAGTGACTCAATGTCGTCCCAATAATCCATAAGCACATCCTAGTTGCTTATTGACATTCCCAATAATACAGATTTATTCTGATTCAATGCAACTGAAAAGAAAAAAAAAATAAAAATAAAATATAATTATAAGGTCTGAACCTAGCTTGAATATAAAGCCAAGATTAAAAGGTCTGAACCTATTCATTTTTTTTTTGTTTTGGGTAAATAATATTCAAAATTTTATAATACATATAAAATGACAACTTTCATTTCCTTCATGTAATAGCATGAAAAACGTGTACATGATATTAAGGAACAACTAATTCTGAGATCCACATGTGCAGTTGTTAACCAAACTGTATAGACATTCATTCACAAATATGTCACTAAGTTTGTCTTCTCAGCACCTTATACAGCTCCAACATACATTGTTTATGACAAAGAAAAAATTGTTAAATCAATGATGAATATAACTACTGGCTACATGAAAAATAACAGTCATTGAAATTATATATCTAGTGACTTGATCCAAGCATGAGAAGTAAAGGAATGAATTTCAAAAAACAAGTTAAGCAAAGCATAAAAATACAGTAAAGGACAATTTTACCAAACCCTAAGACTGCCAAAACCAAAACCAGAGCAGCAAAAACATTCCCCTTCAAGTGCACACATACACACAGCCATATTCGGTGAAGAAAATTTCCATCTTTTATGTGAACTTGAAGATTCAATCTGCCCAAAATCTGCAAAAAGAAAAAAAGAAAAAGCCATTAAAGGGATTTTCCCAGATCTGAAGTCCAAAACAAAGTTAAAGTTAAGGAACAGTATGTTTCTGTTCAGAAATTATGAAACGTATGTGTTAAAAACAGAAACCGAACCAAATCTAAATTTCACTCATTTGGATTAAGGAAAAAAAAAAAAAAAAAAAAAAAAACAGCTTTTTGCGGCACATTTGGATACAGAAAAGAGAACAAGCAGATCTCAGTAAGATTACGTGTGCAGCTTCTTATACACTAAGTTTGTATGTGATCTAAAAGCTGAGATGGACTGATAAAGAGATCAATCTAAGTGGAGAGAGAGAGAGAGAGAGAGAGGAGGAACAAAATCTGAGAACCACAAGTGTCCATAGAGTAAAAGGAACCATTATATCTAATCGTACAGACATACCTGAGTCACGATGGTAGTAGTCCAGCAGATCGAACTACACAAAGGTAAAGTGAAGTGACTCAAATCCCTCAACAATGAAAAATAAAACTTAAGGTAACAAAGATTACACCAATATTATTCCAGAGGTTCGTCAACCACATTGCTCAACCAAAACCTAGTACATACAACATGGATAATCCATATATACAAAATAACAACCATTTATAAATTTAGAACAGACAGATTAAGAAGTTGCGATGACTATTTAAAAAAAAAAAAAAACCGCAATATTATACTATTCATATATGATTTAAAACAAAGAACATAGTATACATACATAAAAGTATGTGTGTGTGTGTATATATATATAGTTGGAATGTTTTAAGTTTTGAGATGAGAAGAAGATTAAAAAAAGCCATTAATTGCCGCTGCAGCATCATCAGGATTCCCATATCAAAGGGCTATTGGGAGCGAAGAGAAGGGACCACAAAAGGCCATTATCAATACCACAACCACCCCACATGAAACCCTAGAAAAGTTATGTGAATCTTGATGATGCTCCATCCGCAACAAACGGCTGATGTCTTGACACTGATATATGCTCATATCATCATCACTCACTCCATGCAAAAGAGAAGAAAAGAGAAAGAAGACTCAAGGCACTCCAACGAAAACCCTAACCCTAAAGAACATTTATGAAAAGCAAAGGGAAAAAGCAAAGCAAAGGACATAAAAAAAAATTAATAACAAATAAAAAAAAATAAAAAAAGTTTCAAACCTAAGTCCAACTTTGTCACAAAAAAAAAAAAAAAATAGCAATCAAACAATCTGTGTATACTGTATACACAGAGGACCAAAGGAAAAGTCTTAGATTGAAGAAAGAGAGAAGAACTTATGACTTCTGAGGATTGAATTGAAGCTAGGGGTTTATTGGGGGTATAAATATACAAAGTAGACAGAGAGAGAGGATAAGTAATGAATCGAGATATGAGGATTGGTTGGTGGAGAGAGAGAGATGGTTATGTTGCACCCACAACAGTTAGCCATCACAATCCTAGGCACCAAATTTACCAAAATCTTTAATTCTTACTGATTCAACTCTTTTTCCATATATATATGTCAAGAGAATAATAGTAGCATCACATAAATGGGAAACAAACTTAGCCATTAATGGTGGCGCTTATGTTTGGAGGATATATTCATTGCGTCCTCAACGAGTATTGCAAGTGTGCCAGAATTAATTGTCAGGGCCTTGACCCACTGCAGGTTTTACCTCTCCTAGGGTTTTCTTATTTCCCTTTTTTGGCTCCTTTTAAGCTCTTTTTTTCTGATTGAAAGTTACCAAAATTTTGGTCATTTTTAGTTGGTTTTCACTTAGATGTTTAATTTTTTTAGTTTGCCAAAGTACCCAAAATCATTACAGTGTGTTTTTGACAATTACTGGAAGCAGACAAAAGTCATGATTATGTGAGTAAGGATTGACATCACAGTGATGTCATGCTTATATTAGTTCTTAATCATTATCTTTTCCGTTTGTTTAATCTATTCAAGAATTTTATAAATTGAAAATCCAATCTTAGAATTTTATAAATTGAAAATCCAATCTTTTATATCATTACCAGATCTAGCTAGTCATTTGGTTTTGAATCACTTCCATCTAATTTTGTTATTGGGCTAGCTCTTCCCATCCTTTATCTGCTATATAGATTTCAGCATCATCTTATATCCTTTGTCAAGTATGAGAGGGTGGTGAATATATTATTCAAATTTTAATTCTATCATTACGGATTTCACGATTTAATCTTTTAATTCCTCTATCTCTTACCAAACAAAACATATCTTTCTCTCCGTACTTCTGACAGAATAAAAACCAAAATAAATGATACACCATAATGCGTGCTGATATGATATATATGGATATTTGAAATGTGTTACAATTATCTAAATATCATATATATATTGTTAGAGTTGCACTGCACAATCAATTAAATTTGATTTTAGTTGTTGTGACGAAAACGCAAAATAATAACGCACGTTGTTCCAAGAATAATCAAGCAATCACAAAGAAAAAAAAAATGATATGTATGGTTCATCTAAATCTTAGGGCTATGTCCATGGAATACACCGAACAAATTAGAAGATAAAGTATGAAGAAGATGAAGAATTACAATGGAGAATTCTCTTCAATCTCTCTCAATTGCTCTCTTTTGTATTGGCACAAATTGATCTCTAATTTTCACACCCTCTAAAATCTAATTAGAGTTAATATTTATAGAGTCTCAAACTTGTCCTACAAGAACTTGCCTTTTGTAGAATCCAAAACCAATAAGGAAGTTAAATCAGATCAGGAAACTGAATTTTCCTTAAACCAATAAGGAAGTTAAATCAGATCAGGAAACTGAATTTTCCCTAAACCAATAAGGAAGTTTTCATATAATTAATTAAATTTTCCTAAAAATCAGTTACCTAATCAGACTCCACAAGAACTACAACAATCTCCCACTTGGAGGCTGGAGTACTTGTAAACCCATTCCATCTTCTTCTCATGCATGCCTCATACATGTCGGTGCGCTTCTTTCTGTCGTCAAGCTAGAAGACCGACTGAAGTTGCGCACAACTTCAGTTTCTCCATGGTCACTGTCTTAGTCAACATATCAGTCAGATTCTTTATGCCAAGTATTTTCGCAAGTGTCAACACCCCATTTTCTAACAAAGATAAGATAAAATGATACCGAAGTCCTATATGCTTGGTCCTTGAATGAAATGTTGAATTCTTTGCCAGATGTATCGCACTCTGACTATCTCTGTGCAAAACATTCTTCACCTGTTCGAATCCCAATTCTGTCAATAAACCTTGTAACCAAATTATCTCCTTGCTGGCCTCTGTCATCGCCGCATACTCTGCCTCTGTAGTAGATAACGCTATAATCCTCTGTATTTGTGAAACCTAGCTAACTGTAGTTGTACCCACCATAAACACATACCCGGTAGTACTTCTTCTGTGGTCCACCTCACCAGCAAAGTCTGAATCTACATAACCATGTAGTTTCACTTCGCCACTTCTAAAACATAAGCATTTGTCTGTGGTACCCCGTAGATATCTCAATATCTACTATACTGCTTCCCAGTGTAGCTTGCCTGAATCCTTCATGAACCTGCTTACTGCTCCCACTACATATATAATGTCTGGCCTTGTGCACACTATGGTATACATCTAACTTCCAATGGCTGAGGCATATGGAATTTTAGCCATGAAGTTTTTCTCATCTTCTGTCTTCGGACACTGATCTTGAGATAATCGGAAGTGATTAGTTAAAGGAGTACTTACCGCCTTAGTATTATTCATGTTGAACCTCTTTAGAACCTGTTCAACATACTCAGCTTGAGACAACTACAAAGTACCTTTCTGCTTATCTCTGCTAATCCTCATCCCAAGAATTTGCTTCGTTGCACCAAGATCATTCATCTTGAATTCACTAGACAACTGCTTCTTCAATTTGCTGATTTCTTCAAAATCAGAACCTGCCACTAACATGTCATCAACATAAAATAGATGAATAATGAAAATTAACTTAAACCTCTTGAAGTAGCAGCAATGGTCAGCGTTGCACTTGTTGTAGCCATATTGTTTCATAAAACCATTAAACTTCTTGTACCACTGCGTCGGGGCTTACTTCAAACCATACAAGTTTTTCTTCAACTTGCACACTAGTTTCTTTTTCCCTTTGACTGAGAAACCCTCCGATTGTTGCATGTAAATCTCCTCCTCAAGGTCACCATGGAGGAAAGCAGTTTTGACATCTAACTGCTCAAGGTGCAACCCCTCTACTGCAATAATGCTAAGAACTGAGCGAATGGTACTCAGTTTCATAACCGGGAAAAAAATGTTTGTGTAGTCAATGCCTTACTTTTGCTGAAAGCCTTTGACCACCAATCTCGCCTTGTATCTCTTGGAACCATCATGCTCCTCTTTCACCCTGTACACCCATTTGTTGTGAAGAGCTTTCTTCCTTATAGGCAACTTGGCTAGTTCCCATGTTTTGTTGGAGATAAGGGACTTTATCTCATCTTCCATTGCAAGCTCCCACTTACTAACATCTTCAACTTGGCATGCTTCATCATAGCATTTAGGTTCACTATCATCTGTGAGCAATATATAATCCAAATATTTCCTATTCGGTACATGAGGTCGCGTAGACCTTTTGGGTGCAGGCACAGGAGTTAGAATCTGCGGTGAACTATGCTCTGTGAGTTTTGGCCAAGAACCCTCATTTGTCTGCTCTGCGTTAATGCTCTCTAGATCATCATCCAACTCAATAAACTCAAGCTTACTCTGTATATGACTAGTTAACTGTGCTGCATCTCTATCCTTGTACATCACCTTCTCATTGAAAATCACATCTCTACTTTTGATGATTTTCTTATTCTGATTATCCCTGAGTCGATAACCAAACTCATCTCCAGTATACCCAACGAAGATGCATTTTAGTGACTTGAGGTCGAACTTTCCCCTAACATAGTCACTAATATGCACATATGCAATACAACAAAAAACTTTTAACCATGAAAGATTTACCTCTTTGCCACTCCATACCTCTTCTGGTATTCGATGCTCCAAAAACACCGATGGTCCACAATTAATTAGGTAGGCTGCCGTATTGACTGATTCTGCCTAAAACTGTTTGGGTAGACCCGAATGTATGCGCATGCTTCTGGCTCTCTCTGTCAATGTTCTGTTCATCCGTTTTGCCACCCCATTCTGCTGTTGGGTTCCTTGCACAGTCCTCTCTAATCTGATCCCATTATCAAAACAGAATTTCTTGAACCCAGTGTCTTCATACTCACCACCATTATCTGACCTCAACCTCTTGATCTTCAAACCTGTCTCATTCTCCACCATGGCCTTCCACTTCTTGAACACATCAAATACCTCAGATTTGTGTTTCAAAAATAAACCCATACCTTCCTCGTGTGATCATCAATGAAAGTCACGAAGTAGGATTTTCCACCAATAGATGAGACAGTGGCTAGCCCCCAAATGTCTGTGTGAACTAGCTCAAGTTTCTCCTTTATGAGATCTCTGCCACTCTTCTTGAAACTGACCCTCTTCTGCTTGCCCATCACGCAACTCTCACAAAAGTCAATATCAATTGCCTGTATGCATGGTAGTTTCTTCTTTGAGTGCATAATTTTAAGCCCTCTTTCATTCGTGTGATCGACCTAGTCTCTGGTGCCAAAGGTTGTGATCTTTTCTATTTTTTGCAACTGCTATAGACCCACAAGCACTGGTAGTTGTGTAAAGAGCGCCAGATTTCTTACCACGTGCAATGGTCATAGCGCCTCTGGAAATTTTCCACGAGTCTCCATTGAAAGTTGTAACAAAACTTTCATCTGACAATTGTCCTACTGAATTCAAATTCTTCCTCAAGTCAAGGATGTGTCTCACATCCTTTAACTTCCAAGCTGACCCATTCAACTTGATTTGCACGTCACCCTTGCCAATGACACTGCAAGGCTGATCATCACTAAGATACATCTTGCCAAGGTTACTCGGTTCATAGATATTAAATAGCTCTTTGCTTGAGGTGCCATGAAACGATGCACCGGAATCTAAAACCCATGACCCTATCTTGCTCTCCAAAGAGCATATCAATGCATCATCTGATTCTTCTGAGACAACGTTTGCTTCAATTTTTCTTTCGGTTCCCTTCTTTGGAAGTCTATAATCAACACGGTAATGTCCCTTCTTTCCACAATTCCAACACTCAACATCACTGAGATCTATGGAATTCCTGAAGTTTTGAGACTGTGTTCTTCCATTCCTTAACTTGGATCTGCCTCTGTTTCTATTACTATTACCCTTCTTCTTATTTGAACCCTTACCTCTACTTTCAACATTCAACGCCAAACCACTGGTGAAAACCCCTGTTGTTTGCCTTCTGATTTCTTCAGTCAGAATCATGCTCACAACTTTATCAAACTTCAACTTGGTCTTCCCTGCAGAGCTACTCTTCGCTGTAACTGTGCCACTCCAACTCTCGGGTAACTGCCTTAGAATTAACAGTGCTCAGACCTCGTCTTTGAAGTCGATATCAATAGACTCTAATTGCCTAA